GAGTAAGCCCTGAAATTACCTAGGAGAGAAGACTTAAACCTTTGCCAGGTTGAAGGCATGACAAGACTGTGGCAAGTACCAGCTAATGAAGAACATCCTGCACCTTACCTGCTTCCCCTCCCTTTAATCTAAACATTCAGGGTTCAGAAACTAAAGAAGGGAGAGGGAAGTTCAAAGAAAACAGGAAAAGGGGAAGAAAAAATATTTTATAGCTTTTTCCATGTACAGCACAGACACTAACTATGGAAAGAAAGAAAATAACTTGATGTTATACCAAGTTGGTGAGGACATGAGTGTTTTTAATTTTTAGTGAAGAATAGTTTTCTTAGAATGAACAGCAATATTATAGGACTTCTGTAGGGTTTCTGTTCAGAGGCAGCATGGATCAAATGAATAATGAGAGCTGACAGTTATTTTTCTTTATTAATTAGTTTCTCTAGTTATAGTTGTAATTATACAACTGGAAACTCACTTTATATTACTACAAACTAGTAAAATTATCATGTAGAAATGATAATTTGAAAGGGTTTTTAAAACAACTTACTGTAATTAAAATTATAATTTTATTTTTAAGGAAAAATATTTTTGGAAAAGAAGTCTAAAATTCAAGAAGAAATATTGAGCAAAGAAATGGGTAAACATGTTGGTAAATAAGAATAGATACTGACTGAAACTATCTATTTTAGGGGCTTAAAATGGAACATTCAGATCATAGTACCCTAATTAAGTAATTTTTATCTAAAGAGACAAAAGAAACAGTAGGCAGCAATGGCACTTATTGCTGAGAAATTACATAAGATGATTTTTCTTTAGATACATTTTTATTAGTACATAAACTTGGTCATATTTATTCCTATTAGTTTTTCTACAGTATCAGGACTCTTGTCATTATTGCTTCTTCAAAATTTTTTAAACTTTGAAAATGTTACATGTCTTATTATTTTAACTTTCTTATTAGTGAAATCAAATTTATTTTAACTCATATTTATTGTTTATTTGGTCCTTGAATTTCTTATTTTGAAAACTGTTTATTCTCTGACCATTTCTATTAGGATATTAGTCTTTTTCTTTTGATTATGTGAGACTTTCATGGATCAGTACTAATGACTGGTTATATAATATATGTTGAAAGTGTTTCTAGCTTTTGTCATTTATAATTTTATTAACTATATTATGATTTCTATGCATATTTTTGACTGACTGAAGTGTTAAATATTTGTATAGTAAAACCCTTAAATTATTTTATTTTTAAAACTGCTTGATATTTGTCTCAGTTACTTTTCTCTTGTTGCTGAGACACAATACCTGACACTCAAAGTTAAAGGGGAAAGGGTTTATTTACCTCAAAGTTTGTAGAGATTTCAGTCCCCAATCAGCAGCTTCAAGGCAGAGTGTCACATGGCAGAGGGGTGTCACAGAGGAGAAACAGTTTATGGTGGACAGACAGTAGCAAAAGCAACCAGGGAAGCTTAATGACATCTTTCTGCCCCTTTTATCTTATCCAGACTACTGGGATTAGGGTGGTGCCAAATCAATCAGTTTTCTGATTTAGTAATCACATGCCCTTAATTCTAGTATCATACACTAGATTCAGTCACCTCTGAAAAACCCACCTATGATTGCATGAGGCTTTTGGGGGACTTCTAGACCCAAACCATAGCAATATTCTTCACAATAAGATCATATCAAAGTCCATGTATACTTTTTCTCCTAATGCTACTTAAATTATTTATCTTGAAAAACTTTAGACTCACAAAAAGTTGTAAAATAATATAAAGAATTATCAGCTTCCTCAAGTTTTGACAGTTTTATTACACTTTATTACATTTCCCCTTCTCTTTCCTTTGGCATGTTTTGTAACACTTTTACTGTCAGATATTTTTGCATTAAAATTTTAGTCTGTTTACAGTTTATTTTCTTATATGTTATAAATTAGAAGTATAATTTCATTTCTCTTTTTCAATTATCAGCTGCTTGATCCAAAATTACATATTAAGTAGTTTATTCATCTCTAAATTTACAAGTTTACATTTATCATATATTAAAATTTATATTCTTTCAGTTCTGCTCCGGGATTTTCTATGCTGTTCAATTTATCTGACAGTTTTAACTACAAAATTATTTAATTATTTTAGTTCAATAAAGAAGTTTATGATTTGTTGTTAGGATTTGAGTATGTTTTTTTCACTCTGAACATCATATTCTATGGAGTTTAATCTCCATGGTGAGGTGTTAAAAGGATGGAAACTTAATGCATGTAGTGTTTAGAGGTGGGGACTTTGGAAGGTATTAGGATGGGTAAGATCATCAGGGAAGGGCATCTATAAATGAATGATGGTGGCTTTCTACAAAAAGGAGTAGGAACCAGAATGCATATGTACTTGCCTGCTCTTTGTCTTTTGTCCATGATGTCCTACACCACTTCGGGACTTTGCTAGAAAGAAGGATGTCACCTGATGCAGCCCCTTGACCAGAACTGTGAACCAAAGTAACACCTTTTTCTGTATCAGATAACATTTGTCTTCAGAGTTGTCTTACTTTTTATACATTTAACATGTTAAATGAAATTTAGAATTTTGTCAGTTTAATTCACCAAAAAGAATGTAAAGTAGGGCCAGGGATTTAGCTCAGTGGTTCCACCACCTGCCTTGCAAGCGCAAGGTCCTGAGTTCGATCCCACCCACCCCCCCAAAAAAGAATGTATAGTGGCAGATACACAGATAATGTCAGCATTATGGAGGGTGGGGCAGGAGGATTGCAAGTTCAACCTTAGCCTGAGCAACCTAGCAAGGTCCTGTATCAAAACAAAAACAAACAAAAGTAAAAAGGAGGATATGAGCTGTAGCTTAATGAAAAGGTTCTGGGTTCACTCCCTAGTATTACTGGGGAAATGGGGATTCACATAGTTACATTACTGGATCTGCCTTTTCAGCAATGTGATAAATATTTCTTATACATATTTTAAAGATTTTATTCCACAGTTGTAAAAGAATTGAGGTTCTAATTACTTTTACTCAATTCTGAAGAGGCTGGTCCAGAAGACTTTCAACTAAAGAGAATATACAATGTTTTCTCCTTCTGCCTATTTTCATCCCTTTTTCCTGTTTGCATCTTTCAACCTTGCATTTAACCCCTTTATTCTTCTAGCCAATTTACTTGTTCCTGAAGTCATCCATGACTCCTGTCCATCTGTCTACTCTGTTGAAAACAGAAGAGATACAATTTGAAGTTATTTATTAAATATATGAGTGAATTTTTAAATAACTTTCTGACATGTCACAGAGAAAATTAAATTATATATAACATCTTACATCATAAGCAATAAAAAAAACAGGTTTTGACTTGATCAAGAAATACATTTCTTGATTAAGTTTCTATTTTTCCATGTACAGTACATTTAACAACTGTAAATTATTGCCAGTGAAACAAATAATTAGTTTGGTCAAAACAGTGGAACATACTCTTAATAGCACCACAATCAATTCATTAATATGATTTGGAAATGTTTGCTTCCAATATTTATTAAAGTTTTTCCTGAAACATTAGTACTGGTTTGTGAAGGTTGTATGGGTTTTTCTGTGTCCTTATGCCTATAAAGAATGTAAAATCTGTGACTTGAAGAGCTGTCTTACCTCATGTATTTGTATCCTTTGATGTTTAAGACATACAAAGTTCTCAGAAGATGTTGTGCCTGACTACAATATGAACTGGCTGTTGGTTCAGCTTTGCACTTAAATTTGTCTTTACGGTTTGATATAGATGTGGATGTGAACTTTGAGGGTACTCTAAAATATTCCCAAGATTTTGGTTTTATTCAGATATGAGAAAGTCCCAGAGATATCTGCTATCAAAAAGATAGTATACTACTCATGGTTCCTGAGAGAAGGAGGTACACACTGCAGCATGCAGGCTCACAGGAGAGCATACCAGCTTTGGCACAAGCAGAATGAAGGGAACAGCAAGCGAGACTTTATTATTGTTCATAGGAAGTAAAAGGGAGACAGACCAAAAGGTGCTGACCAGGTTTGTATTTGCTAGCTTGAATAATTTCAGAAGGCTCTGGAGCACAGGGGCTGCCCCTCATTGTCTGATGTCTGACCTTGTGAAAGCTAGGGTAGGAGGTTAGTTTATCTTACAAAGGGGACTGAGTTAGTCACTTCCTTGTCACTGGCATAAAATAACCAATGGCCCAAACTTACAGGAGGAGAGATTTATTCTGGCTCATGGTTTTTAGTGGATTTGGTGCATAGTCTGCTGTCTTCAAGGCAGAAAAGGTATAGGGGCAGGGTCTGGCAGAGGAAAACTGTGCACAGTATTGCAGCCAGGAAGCAGAGAGAAAAGAGAGGAGTGGGGACGAGATCTAACTTTGCAGGCCATGTCCTCAGCCAACTGCCTTTTCTGACCAAGCCCCATGTTCTAACAGTGCATTCAGCTATTGATTCATCAGTGGATTAACCCTCTATGAGTACAGTACCCGAGTGACCCAATCAACTTCCAAAGCCTTTCTTCTGCACACATGAGAATTTTGTGTTTGTTTTTTTTTTTTTGAGGCAGGGTCTCCCTTTGTAGTTCAGGCTGGCCCTGAACTCACTATGTAGCTCAGACTGGTCTCCAACTCACCTTGATCCTCCTGCCTCAGCCTCCAGAGTGCTGGGATCACAGGCATGCACCACCACACCTGGCTACATTTTTTTTTTTTTTTGGTACTGGGAATTGAACCATGGGACCTTGCATTTGTGAGGTAGGTGGAGGAACCACAGAGCTAAATCCCCAGCCCATTGTGTGGTATTTTTGATCTAAAGCATAATAGGAGCCATGGATTTAAGATTAATTGGTTTAAACATCAAATGCATTCTGAAGGGTGACCTCTTTTCTACCTCTAAGAATTAGCTAGGTCTAATCTCAAGGCTTCAGATATCAGAACATTAGATAAAGAAACAAGAAAACATGTAATACAGTAGTCAGTGGCAATCCTGATTCTTTCTTTTCCTCATTTGTAGGCAAAGCAACTTATACATAGATGGAGTATTGAGAATTCCAGCCTCCATAAATTTCCCTTCAAGATTATGAGATAGCTACTTATACAGGTTGAGTATTTCTTTTCCTTCTCTTTAAATTTGGGAATAACCTGATGAAGTTTAATCCAAACTGGTGTCTAACTGTGAATTATTCAGTTACACCTAGTTTTCTTGGAGAGATACACAAGTGTGGGCTTGTGCTGAGCCACTAGTGAAGGTTGATGGTGTATAGGAATATGTCATATTTGGTTCTTTCACTGTTCTTTAGAAAGTGAACTTTCTTTATAGGTATGGGTTTATGTTGTGACATTCATTCTGGAACTTACCTCCTACCATCAATAAACACTATATAATTATTTTTACCTGTTGGAAACAATAGCTGTTATGGATGAGCAAGTTTGAACAATAGAGATGCACCACACTCTGTGCCAGATTCAAGCCCATTTATTATAGCCAGTGGCTGAGGGGGTCTAGCACCCAGAAAGCTTCCTCTGCAATGGGAAGCACTTTGATTTCTCCTTTTAAATCATGCTTTCAGTTGGGGAGGGCTCAGGGGATAGCGAGAGGAATCTTACAGAAGTAGACATATGACAGGTTAGTGGGAGGGGGTACAAGGAAATTTCACACACTAGGTGAACTACAAAGCATCCTGCAACTGTAGCAAGTTTACTGCCAAACAGGATATGGGGGTTTTGGGTGCTTTGTTAAAGCACAAGCACTTTTTTCAAGCACAGGTACAAAATGCCACTGAGGTACAAGATGGAGTCGGGTTGGCTATCACATGATAATTTATTGACCTTTATGTTTTGTGTGCTTTTTTTTCACAAATAATAATATTTTATTATAGAAAAAAGCATCCCAAATGTAGGATTTCATAAACACTGGTAGGTGAACAAGTGCAACTTTAAATTCAAGGTAAAGAGGTGACACCTAACAAGCACTTTGCCTTTAGGAGATGTAGCTCTCCTTTAGCAAAGGTGATCCCACCATCCCAAACACAGCAAGCTCCATCCCCACCAGGGCATCAGTTTGCTGTCTGAGCTATGTCCACTTTAAAAGGTTCCAAGTGATGGCAAGAAGTGGCATTAATGCTTACTAAAAACTCAGGATTTTTAAAAAAAGACTTCACATTACACTGGATGACAGTCTAAGTTAAAGCCTGTGCTCTGAGTTTTTATTTAAAGAGGTACCCTTTGAAACACTAACTGAAGAGACACCTGTCCTCACTGAGCTTATTCTACAGTACTTTCATAGACTTGTTTTTTTGGTACCAGGAATCAAACTCAGGACCTTGGGCTTGCCAGGCAGAATGGAGCACCACTGAGCTAAACCCCAGCCCTATAGACCTGTATACATTAGATAACATACTGTCCTCAGGATTCAGTTTAAAATAATTTTGGCCATCATATATTGTGCAGGAAATCCAGCTACTTACTTTCTTATCCTTTTTGCTGTCATTCCTTCAATACCTTTCTTTCACTTTGAAGAAACCATCAAATAATGTGACATTTTAACACTGTCTCCTTGTGCTCTCAATGGCTAATGTTTCCTAGCCAGCTCTAAACCTCAAATTCTGGTTCATCTTGGCTTGCTGAGAAGCTCTAAAATACTCTGGGTAAAACAATTTCTTACAAAAATGTATGAACATCTTGGCTTACTTATTTAGGCACTTAGAAGAGACACCAAACCCAGGTTACCTTCTGCCTATCTGGCCAGTAACTGACTGAAGGGGATGACTGTAGCCTGGGCCTCATTCCCACAGGAACTGAGGGGCCACCGAGTTCGAATGACGTTAAGGGCTAGGTGGGGGGTGGGGGTGGGGGGTACAGAAACTGCTCTACCAGTAGGAACCTATGGTCCCCTTTTCATTTAGTCACCACCACTTGATGACACTTGCAGACAAACCACAGATTTCCATGTCCTCAAACTACTGGTTGGGGCCAAAAGCATGTTAACTTAGAATGTGGCTGTGGGAAAGATAGCTAGTTCTTAAAAGCCTGAGAAAAACAATCAGTTACACAAAACAAAGCGTCAAGCACACACCCTACTTTCCTAACTTTGTACCTAGCAAGAACTCATTAAAGTGTTATCTGTGGCATGTTTACACTTAAACGAGAAGTTATTCACATTGTCAACAGTTTTGTGTGCTTTTGTGTGTGATGATTAACATATTAATCATTGGATGAACAATAAATCTTTTTGATTGCATGAATAAATGAAAATAATATTTACAGCATACTCAGTATTTGTACTCTAGCACTCCATTAAGTGGTTCCTTTATAAATTCTCTAATCTCAATAAGTATTTCTCAAGTGAAAACTCCCAGTTTGAATATTCCCATACTTTTTATGCTATACCAAGAGAATAGAGCAGTTAGTCTATAATACTATCTTTAAATATCTGACCCATGACAGATAGTGATGTGGCATTATTTGACTCAATATATAATCATTTTTCTTTTGAAAAAATTAGAGATATGATCAATGGAACAGTCAAAAACATTAATTTTGTAATGTGCCAAATGAAAGACCAGAGTTATACATACAAATAAAGAAATTAAGAGTGAAAAGAATGCATTGAAGTTCCAATATTAGACAATATTGTTTCTATGCTTTCACCAGAAATTTATTAGAATTAGCTATAGAATTAGATTTCTTTTTTTTCCCCCCATTAACTTTATTGGTACATTTTAGGTATACAATACAGTTACATTCATCATTGGGATCTTGTACCTTTACATGAGTCTCTTGGTTCTTATTTTTTTTCCCCTTCTCTTGCCCTCCTCTCACCTTCTTCACCCTTCCCTATTTGCAAAGACCTTGTTT